CCGCCAGCTGCTGCTCCTGCTGCCGCGACCGCGAGCCGGGGCCGTCCAGCTGGGCAGCCAGCTGGGCCAGGGAGGGCGGCGCGCCGCTTGCCACGGGCGGCGCGCCGCCCGCCGCCGCCGGCTCCTCCTGCCAACGCCGGCGCTTCTTGCCGGCCCGGCGCTCCGCGCCATCCCCCGCGGCGGGCTCCGCCTCCCGATGCCGCTCCCGCGGCGGCTTCTGGCGCTGCCGCTGCGCCTGCTGCTCCAGCGCAGCAAAGTGGTCGGCCCGTCCGGCCGCCAGCCCGCGCAGGGCGGCCGTGTCGGCCTGCCAGGCATCTGCCGCCGCCGGCTGCTGCCACTCCAGCTGCTGCGGCTGCGGCTGCTGCTCCAGCTGCTGCTGGGAGGGAGGCTCTAGGGCCTGCCCGTGCCGGTCCTGCACGCCAGCGGGCGAGGTGGGCAGGCACGGCAGGCGCAGGGGTGAGCGGGCTGACCGCTAGCAAGAGCACAGCAGGCCAGGGCGGGGGCCGCCCAGCCAGCACGCGCAGTAGGCCTTGCTGACCCCTTTGCCCCAAGGAAGGAGCAGCCAGGAAGGGTACGGTGCCGATCGATAGGGGAGAGAGGCTGCGATGCGGCGGCACGCCCTGGCAGGCTGCGCAGGCGCACCCCATACTTGCGCCGCGCTCGGTCGCGCAGCAGCTGGTGCCGCGCCTCCCGCTCTGCCGCCTCGGCCCGCCCGCGGACCTCCGACTGCGCCTCCTCGTACTTTGCCTCATCCCGGGACACCTTGAGCCGGTTGTCTCGGTTGTACACTGCCAGGGGGGCGCGCAGGGGGAAGGCGAGGTGGGTCGTCGTCGTCGTCGGCGGCGGCGCACTGCAGGCTGCCAGACGTGCGAAGGGGTTGCCTGGGAGCTCCTGGGAGCTCCTGGGAGCTGCCTGGGGCCTTACCGTTCCATTTCTTCTGCGGCAATATGTTCAGACTGCGCGCGTTTTATGGGGCAGCAAAAAAACACGGGCAGCGTTATGGAGGAATGCGACCAGGCAGGCGAGGAAGACAGCAGGGGCCAGATGGCATTCGTTTTGCGGAAGGATACTGGCCGCCACCGCTCGCGAGCATTCTTTCTGCTTCAATATAGCTTACCCGCCGTGTCCGCCCATCAGAGCAACGCCAGGCTGTCACACAGGGGCAGGAGGGGCGCCAGGGACGCGTGGGCCGGCTGCGGGACTGCCGCCGCTCGATTGCGCCAGGCCTCGTGTCCTGCGTGCCTCCTGTGCGCTGCTACGGGTGCTGCAGGCAGCTCAGTGGCCCCACGGGCGCAGCAGGGCAGTGGGGTGCCAGGCAGAGACCTGGAGAAGCACCGTCTGCCGCGCTGCCTGCAGCGGCGCTATGGTGGAGGGCGGCGGTAAGGCGGCGGCGGTCGGCGGGGGCAGCCCGCTTCTCCCTTGCCGTGCGGCATGCACCAAGCAGGTTGGACGTTCGTCTCACTGCTACTAGCTGCCGCCTGCAGAGTCACGCACGCTGCACTGCAGACTTGCCTGCTCGCCTGAGCAGCGCGGAGGAGCCCTGCGGCAGCTGGCCTGGCCGGCCTGTGCACGCTCCTAAGCTCCGTTGAGCTGCGCTTGCGCTCACCCGCTGATGGGCGTGGCCGGGACTCGGCAGGTGCAGGCTGCTGGGTTGTGTCACACGGAGGAGGGCGTGGATGGCGGCAGAGTCCGCGCCTTCAGCGATACCAGCGCATCCTGGCCCTCCTCTGTCATCATTGCTGGGTGGGGAGTGGGTAAACGCCAGGTCCTCGGCGCCGTCCAGGAAGGCGGCGGTCTGCAAGGGGCTGGCAGCTTGTGCGGTGTGAGCTTCTGCTTCGAACCTGCTGGATTTGGGCGTCGTGCATGCATGACTGACAGATGAGAGGTCCCCTGCAGCCTCCCCAGCTCACCAGAGCGGTGTCGTGGCAGGCGCCGAACAGCTGCATGGTGGTGCTTGCCAGCTCCATCTTCCAGCTGCGCTTTGTTCTGACCGCCAGCGGCACCAGGCCACGGGTGCTGCCCAGCTGGTGCAGCTGCTGCAGGTCTGACAGCGACTCGCCGCCGGCGGCAGCCACGGCTTCAGCGCCGCCAGCGCATCCTGCCCCTCCTCCGTCATCATCGCCGCTGCCCAGCCGCGCCGCTGGTCTCCAGCCTTGTCCGTGGCCCGCGCCACAGCCTGCCAGCACCGCAGGATCTCCCCGCCGCGCTCCACCAGCTGCAGGGCGCCCAGCTGGCCCCCGCTGGCTGCCGCCGCTTCCTGCGCTGCCGCAGCAGCGAGGCCCACCAGCAGCTCTGCCGCGGGCTTCGCCCCACCGGCGTTTCGCGCCGCGCCGCTGCCGCTGCCGCTGCCGAATGGCAAGGGCAGGCGCAGCACGGCCGCGGCGGGCTTCGTGCTGCTCGTCGCAGACGCTGCCTGCCGCTGCAGCTTGCTGGAGCCCTTGAGGTACATGCGGGCTGCGCTCTCGTTTCGCACGACTGTTGGGCTCAGCAGCAGCTGTTGGGCGGCCCCGGAGAGAATGAGGCGCTGCAGGTTGTGGGCGGGTGGCGGCACAGGTGGGTCAGCACAGTGGCCAACCCCGCCACCTGTGCACCTCACCGGACCAAACATCCTTCAAACATCCAGCCAGGCGCACCACAGCCCAGCCACCCAGCCCATCCACCACTGCCCCCGCCCCCCTCACCAGCCGCATGGATGAGCCCGCCCCCAGCATGGCCGCCGTGGCGACATCCATCTCCAGGTGCTGCTCCTCGCCTGGCGGATTCATCACCACCAGCGGCAGGAGGCCGTGGGTGCAGCCCAGCTGATAGGCCTGCAGCACGCGCGACAGCGTGGCCCAGCACCACCAGCTGCACCGCGGCCGCCACTGGCTGCGGCTGGTGCTGGTCGCCCGAGGCGCCGGCGGCGTCTGGTGCCGGCAGTGCCAGCGGCAGCTGGCACTTCTAACCCACCCACCCACCCGCACCCACGCTGCAGCACGCAAGCTTCTTGGGTATGGGAGGGGGAGCTCAACGGTCGTTGGAGAGGCTGCACAGGCGCCAGGCGGGGCCCGCGGCTTTTGCAGTTGTGATTTCGGCTGTTTGGGTCGATCGAGGAACTTGGACGTGACTGCCAGTGGCTTGTGTGGGTTTTCCCCTTGCGCCACCATTCACAGGTGAGGCCCGGCACCGCGATGCCATCTGGTCAGCAGCCTGTCACCTGATGCTGCAATGGCGGTGGGTTCTGCCA